GTTGAAGTCCACTCATCTTAAAGTGGCCAAGTTTGGACAACACTGTTGTAGGGTATAATAATAGAGACTAGAAAGCCTGCCAGAGTTTCCCTTTGCACCCTCTTATACCAGGCAGAATCAAGGTGGAGTTATTCTGAGTTTTTCATGTGTTTTCCTTTCCCAGGACTGAGTTGTCTCTTACTTCCCATTAACTGTTCCTGCATACTTTCTTCAAGATTATCTCAGCACATCTCTACAGGGCACATTGCTACAAAGAAAGAAACATTGCCCCTTATTCCCTTTATCTCTCCAGGCTGCCTCGTATAACCATTTCCTTTTACTAGCTATTGCTCTTCAGGATAAATTTCTTCTGCTCCTCTCTTTTGTGTGTATCTGTCTGTGTATGTGTGTCTGTCTTTTACCCACACAACACAACAGCTTTTTTCTTTTCCTAATGAATGTGTCTAACTTTTGTTTGTTCCCTCTCTACTCTTTTAACCCCTCCATTCTGGGAGGTCATCTATTCTGATTTTCTTCTGGATATCATGTTGTCAGCCAAGAAGTCCTCTATTTCTTCTTCTGTGTACCTAGTATTTGAAGGTTCTACTACCTCTGATTCTAACTTCCACCCACTACCGACCTGTTGAACCAGATCCCTAGTATTCAAGTTAATTTCCTTACTCTACCTGTCAAACCTATACAGGTTTGTACCAGATTTACTTGTTGCCCAGATCTACTGTAAATCAGTATGACTTTTATTGTAACAGTAACAGAAATGTGTAAGTCTGAATGGACTTCCCCTTCCTTCCCTTTATCTTTGTGTGAACTGGGGAGGGGTCTGTCTGAGATGTTTATTCACTTTACTGTCTTGGCTCAGGCCCCTTTTATCTGATCATTGCCTTGGTAGCAGCTCTTTCCTCATCTTCTGCAAGGCCATTCCTTCTGCTCTCCACATCTACACTAAAAATGTGCTGCGGATGTGTAGTGGTAGATGAGGACTTGCAGAAGTTCTTGTTCCAGCAGCGCATGCCACAAGCTATTTGAAAAGTAGGTGTTCGCTGTGCAAAAGAAAATGTAATAATCCTTGAACAAACAATGAAGAGTCAATTAGTCTACAGACATTATGCTAAAATGCATTTGTTTAAGATGCCACAGGTCCTTTTGCTGCAGTAAACTAGCACAATTACCCATTTGGAAATCCTTTTAACATAGAGAATCTGAGGCCCCAGGGTTACAAGTGATCCTCAAAAATCTTATTTATGAACTCAGAAACCTCCCAAAATTGTTACAAATCGTAATTCTTAATGTGACAGAATCATTAAGAACATAATTGTTAGTAAAGAAATTCACTAGATTTATTTTTCATTACCTGAAAATTTAATGGAATGAAATTAATTTGGGATTTTGTCCTGCCCTCACTGCTGGCACAACATTCAAATGTAAAATGTGAAAAAAAAAAAAAGAAATACCCCTGCTTTATAACTCTTCCATGAGTGGGAAGCAAAACCATACATAACTGCATCTATTGTTAGTTGTTTTTATTTCTTTGTAGGAGAGTAATATTGAAAATAATCCTATTTAATGTAGGTTCCGAACATTATTTGTAGCTGGTGAACGCTGTGATGTGGATACGTTAGAATGGTGCAAAAGAATTTTCAAGGTACCAGTTTTGGATCATTGGTGGCAAACTGGTGAGTTGATTATCACTATCTGAAAACAAATGCACACACACAAAAAAACCAATTCTACCTCTTTTCTGACTGAAGTTTGTGTTTCAAATTAGTTAACATGTAGGACTCCTTAAACATGTTTGTATTTCTACATAATTTGGATTCCTTCTTATGGCTACTGTATTGTCTTCCCACTTTCTTTTGGTTTCTTTTACTATATCTGTACCTGTTATTGCCTTGAGTTATTGTGTTTATGTAAGAGTCATGAATTATCTGGCTACTGTTGTCTTGGGAGAATGAAAGATTGATGTACACTTATCTATTAGAAAAATATTTTTCTTCTCTGTATATAAAGTGGGAAGGAATATGGTTGAAATGTACCAGTATGAGAACTCCAGATGTATAAGAAATTAAACAACAGGAAAAAAGGGTTTTACTGTCAGTTCAGTTGTAAGCAAGAGCTGCACATGAACTAAACCTCAAACTGGTAGCAAATGTTGGGAGAAAATAGTCTGATACTGTAGGTATCTGAAAAAAAGTAGTTTGAAATGGGGACAGCATTGGCCTTGGAGAAAGCATGTCTGAAGAATGAATCTTCTGATGCCAGTGACATGTCCCTTATCTAACCCCACCCATCAATAGCCCTTTGGATTATTTGAGGGACTGCAGAGAGAAGTTCACTATCCTTTGCCTTTGGTTCCAATATTGCCATGAGCTTGAACACCATGAGAACAGAGAAGTGATGCAGCTTTGCTCATGCCTTGAATCATTAGTGTTTTGAATAGCTTTGTTGGGAAAAATATGGAGGCTAGACAGCCATGGTTGCAGCTGTTACTTTGCTTCAGCTTGAAAAGCCAGCTCAATTTGAAAAAACTCCAGCCATTTATTTACTAGATATTTATCTATCTTCACTGACCAGAGTGTTGATATAACAGTAATGAAGACAAGCTTTATGTTGTCACATTGATGGCTGAGTGATGCTAGAATATGCTGCATCTCACTACTGAGAAATGACTGAGAGTCTCTGTGAGATTGGCTTCATGGAGAAGTTGCTGTAATCTCTCTGAGCAACAAACATGATGGAACTGGGTAGCAGCTGAAGTGCCATTTATGTCTCGAATGGGCTGTGTGGAGTCCCTCTGCTCCATCTGGTTACTCTCAGTTTATAGAATAGGATTGAAAGGGGCTCCAAACCCCTGCCCAGGGCAGGAATACTCAGACCATCCCAAACACATAGCTGTCCAATCTTTGTTTGAAAATCTCCAATAATGAAGCACCCATGACTCGAGGAAGCACACTGTTCCACTGTTTAATAGTTCTCATGGTCAAAAAATTCATCCTTGTTTTAAGTTTGGATTTCTCTAAAGCTTTCACCCATTGGTTCTTGTCCTGTCCTCAGGCATTATAGAGAATAAATCCACACTCTCTTTCCTGTGACAGTTCTTCAAAGTATTGGAAACCTGCTAAATAGATTAGCTACAACAACTGTCTTTAGAGTCATCTAAGATATCTAATGATCCCCGTAAATAGACATTATATTCTCTATAGTTCCTCAGTGTATTAAAGTTCTTCCTTCCCTTCAGTTAAGTCAAAGTTTTCTTACTCCTATGCCCATTATTATTGGTCACTGTATCTAATTTTATACCATTTCTCAATATATTGTTAGCAGGACAGTTTATAGAGGACAGTAGTGCAAAACAAACTTACCAGGATTAAAACACAACACAGTTCAAAGAGTTACCTATTATATTAAAGCCCAAGTCTCTGTAGGAGCTGTAGCTGGCATTCACACATACAGAAGAATGTATGTCCAAATGGCAGAACTAGGGATTTTTTTCATAGAGCAGAGGACATGAAGAGATTTATGTGTGGTGTCACTAAGTGGAGGATTAAGTGAGATTACACATAATTAAGTAGAGATGTTTAAGAATGTGAACTAATTAAGTAGAGATTAATTAGTTCAAATTCTTAAATGTAGCTAGCAGTCAGGAATAGCCAAGTCAAACTGGTGTTCAGACTGGGATCAGGCAGTGTACAAATTGAATAAAATGGAAATAAATAAATAAATAAATACATACATACATACATACATACATACATACAAAGGATATGTACATTTATATATGTGGACGCTTACTATCATATGTAATACAGAAGAAAAAAAAAGGAGTTTCGTTAGCATATCCACTAATAACACAGAGACTAGTATACTAGCCTGAGTCCTACTTTAAAGATAAAAGTGATGAAAAGCTTTTGCTAAATAAGGATTTGAGGAAGCATTATGGAAATGGTAGGACTCTTAGTGGTTTTCATTACTCTACAAAAAATTGCCCAGAGGAAAAGATGGAATTTATTCAGTGAGAGATGACAGAATGTTTTGAAAACAATACTGCACATTTCTACCTTTTCCTTCCTTCCTTTTGATATTTTTAGTAGCAATGATAAAAATCTTACCTGGGAATCAGCATTTAGCCATTTTTCAAAGTGCTGTCAAAATTAGAAAGTTACATGTCCCCCCCTCCCCGATTTTGACAACTCTCTTGGTAGCCCCAGCCTGATCCCTCTGAAGATATTCCCACCTGCATTTTCTCTCTTCTTCTGCTTTTGGAACTGCATATGGGTGGCATTTCACTTTATTCTGAAATTGCATGTGTTAAGCATGAATCCACTGTTTCTTTTCATGCTCCTTCCTTCCCTTGTGCAAGTGCACTGACTGCAGTAAAAGGAATACTAATCCAAGTTCAGACATGGATCTAATCTCAAAGTAATTTTAAGGTGCGCTAAAAGAAAGCGAGATGGTGGGGCAGTTTTTCAAATCTCATTTGCATAAATGAGAGAAGCTCTGACTGCCATTAGTTTATTTCTATGAAAATGTTACAGGTTGCTGATGTCATTTCTGTTGCCTAGCAACGGCCTTTTCCCTCGTTCTGTGACTAGAGTCTTCATTAGGGTAAGGTAGATGTTTTTACTGATGGTTTGTGAATAGGGAACTGAGAGTTAAGCTCCATGAATTTCCTTTATAGAAAGAGTAATCCTTTGCTAGATTTAAGGCAGCCCTGATGGATCTTTTCCTGGAGAAAGAACATGAAGCAGATTATAAAACACTAATCCCTGCTGTAGATGGTTTTTTACATATTTAAAATAGTAGCTGTCTGATTGTTCTCTTCTGTCTGTACTGGGTTACTGACATTAAAGCATGACCATAATGTTTTTTTGGAAGCAGTTAAATTGTTAATGTTTAGCACTAATATATGCATTTTTTTGTGTTATTTGTCTGTGTCTATTGTCAACTGAACATCAGTTGTAAGTACCTTAGCAGTGGAAATGAATAAGATGCTTTGATTCTGTACAAACTAGGGAAAAAAAATCATGATTTTTATTAAAATACTGTGATATGCTGATACATACTGCAGTAAGGAATACTGGTAGTAGTCTTCCAGTTGTTTCCGCCACTCTGCCTTAACAGGTTCTGCGTGTTTATCTTCTCCTTTCCAAAGTACAGCTGCAATCAAGATCCTTGTGCTTTCTTCTCCCTCCTGAGGATGTGCTGTGAAAGAAAAGTTTCTCTTTCAAAAGGAGAAACAAAATAAGTAAAATGATCATTTCAGCTTTCTGAATTTTAAGAAGTACATAGTTCAGATGATGTCCCTCACTGTATGAAGGTTTATCCACATTTTATGGTTGGCAATAGGGTGGAAAGCAAGATGAAATACCTTGTTTGCCATTATTCTTATGGATATAGATTTGTCTAGTTTAATTAATAGAAATATGATGACAGATTCTTAAAACTGGTGTTCTGCAATATTCTTCTAGATTAGCTACCATTAAGAACAGATTCAGTAATCTAGGTAACAGATGTTCCTTTGGTTTACCCTTCCTCTGCTACAGTTTCATATGTTTCATTCAGTTTAGGGACTTCTGCTGGATATTAACTTCCAAGCACACAGCTTTTTTTTTTTTTTTGGCTCTAAAGAGCACTGCTGGCCCTAACCCATGTAACTGCACACATGCTCAGGGATTATGTTATGTGGAGATGGGCAAGTGTTTTCCTACTGGGAATTATTTTAATACAAGGAATGAAACTTGAGTGTTTTTAATCACTGAAACTACATATATTGGACAATTAATTACACACACACACACAGAGTCTGAAATCTGTGTCCATGTGGCAGATCAAGTTTGTTGCTTATTATATATTGTAGCTTTAAAAAGCATTTTCTCTGTTCAGAACATTGTGTCTTTTTGCAAGAAATCTTCACATATGTATTAGCCACAAGATTCCTAAAGTAACGTGTTTGCAATCCGGTGGCCAGTCGGGAGCCAGTAAGTTCTTTAGGATTCAGTAGGCTCAAACTGGAGTGAAATGCCAAAAAGGATTTTATTGAATAAATATAAGAATGTTAACAGAGAAAGATTTAACAATCCACATCCCTTCAGCATGCCAGGAACCCCAAGAATGGCAGTGGATTGATCTTTTGGAGCTGGCAGTTGCACAGCACCTTCTTGGGACTTTGGGTGTATGTTGAGGTTCAAACTGTTTAGGGGCCTTTGCCACCTTTCAATAGTTTTCTTAAGAGACAGGAAGTATAGACAGTAATACTTGGAGATGGCTTGGTAGCACCTCTTATCAGGGACTTGATCATAACTTCAGATCAGCCTTTCTCAACATTAGCAACTTTAAGATGTGTGGACTTCAACTCCCAGAATTCCCCAACCAGCATGGCTGGCTGGGGGATTCTG